TTGTAAAAACATCAAAATGCATAATAAATCAGTAAATCGTCATTTACTAATTTGTTATTGATCTTAGTTTCTAAATACCTGGAAACTACCCACAACAGTGCCCATAAGGTTACAAATCAAAGCTCATACTTAATCCCCTAACTTGCCAAACAGCCAAATCTGTTATCACCCTCCCAGTTCACCTACCCAACAACCAAGCCTAGAAAATCCACCCAGAGAACTAAGCCCCCACTTCACAATTACAAGAAACATTGCCCACTCACTCCATATCTCCAACAGTTGAACATTAATACTATGCTACAAACATTTGAGTCCAAACCCAAATAATCCCCTAACAAATGAAGATGTCATTTGATGTACTAGATATACATTAAGATCATCAATTTGGTGAGAACAATAATACTATGCTACAAACATTTCCTTCCAGTTGATTGAACCATTTATAATGCATCATGAACAACATGGTAATTGGCTCCATTTTCATAAAAAGGAAATTATACTATGAAGGAATCCATGTTACATCCAGAGAGAAAGTTAGGAGCACAAACTTATACAACGAGAATATTGCATTTTATTAGCTATAAGTTTATCCAACAAATAAATTTATAAATACCATGGTTATGATCCAAAAACAACCTTCCAGAGGAAGACGCCTTTAAAGCTCTTATTGGAGCACGTTCTGTCTTTTGTAGGACCCGAAATGCTCGATTAAGACCACTTCTAACACAGGTCACAACAAGTCTATTAGTATAGCCTCCAGCTTTTTCATTCACCTGAATTAATCAAAAGTATTCAATAAAGTAAATAACAAGATTATGGAAATAACATATTATAAAACTAAAGTACCTGTTAAACATAGAGCAATATGAATACTTTGAACTGAACGAAATGCATAAACCATTATATTAAGTAGTTAGGAAAATTATCAGTTATCCTTCTTTTTATAAGCAAACAAAATTTCATTAAAAAGTTATCCTTGTAAGATAAATACAAGTAATGGGAAAGTCAAAATTAGTACGAAGGCATCAGAAGCAATGCCAATGTGATTTTGGCCTTCTAACTGAGGTGCAACCTAAGCAGTCATAAGTCAACATATTTTATTTATTAAAATTTCAAAAATTGTCAGCCAATCAAACAAAAAAAAAACTGTCATAGATATTCAAATAAGCTAAAACCTTAGTTTACAGAATCATACATAAGGTTTTTTTTATTTGATAAAAACAAACAAGAAATGAATAAAGTGCATACCCTATTAAGTGGATTATTTTATTTGCGAAAAAAATGATGTGTTCCCAAATAATGAAAAGAGAGAAAAAAAAAAGAGCATGCATGCAGTATAGCAACCTGAAAACTGAATATGTACATGATCTTCCTTTGACTTGACTTTCAAGTACAACAGAGAAGAAAAAGATGTACAAGTCTACATTCTATAAGACTCACAAATCCCAACCCCTCATACTGACTCTTTTTTATTAAAAGGAAAACCTGAAAAGCAATCACGTACATCTAAATAAGCTTTAAAGAAATTATTTGATATAAAATGTAAAAGAATGTTTCCCATTTTTCTTTCACCAAGTAAACAGTACAATCACCTCACTCCTTAGTATTTAGCATCCTCCACTTAAGGAGATGCCTGCACATCTACACTTAGCCACTGGCCCACTGCCTGCCTAGACCCTGAACTAGGCAATTGGGATACTAAATAGGTGAGCAATGACCTTAGAGCAGCCCACACAAATGCTTTCACTACATGGGTCAAAATTTAAATGAAAATAGAAGCATGGCTTAAAATTTCCATATATTTCCTAATATTTCCATGGTGTTAGTGTTGAGTATGTAGGGGTATTTATGTCTTTGTGCTTATGGTTAAGTGCTGATGTGTAAGTTTATGTTAGATCTAATGTCCCTAACTTAAGTAGGGCACATGTGACTTTTCCAAAATATTTTTAGTAATATAAAACAGATCTGGCTGAATGGGAGGGTTGACTTTTCTCTCATTCGAACCAGACCTTTCCTCCTTGTCCTCTCTTCTCCTTTCTCTCTCTCTCTCTCTCTCTCTCTCTCTTCTCTCTCTCTCTTCTCTCTTTTCCTTGACTGTTACCAGTCTAACAGGCAGGCCGAACTCTAATATGGTATCAGAGCTAAACTGAGCAAATCGGATCTGCCTAGAATTCTGTTCTCTGCGCACCCAATCTAGGGTTTTCTCTTGCTTTCTTCGCCATCAGTTGGAGATAAGGGAAAGGGCTGAAAAKGAGTGTTCACCCTCTTCCCTTGGAGGTTTCTATGCCTCCAGTTGTGGTGTTCGTGGTCGGTTGCTGCAGTTTCTAAGAAGCCCTCCCCTAATCGATGAAGAGAAGAGGGCTTATTCGTGTGGTCTGATTTTCGGGTGATCAGTGTGCTAGGGTTTGTGCAGTTTTCAGTGTGATTCGAAGGGGAAGTGTTCCTCAAACAGTGTGGTGAAGTTTCAGGTAGTCGTGAGGTAGGATTTGTGGTGTAAAGAGTGCAGTTTACAGCAAATAGTAAGTGCTGAAATCAGTGTGTAGTGTGGTCTAGTGTGCCGAATTCAGCAATGGGAGACAGTAGTGATAGCAAGACTAGTGTGATGGTTCCTACTAACTACCTGAATGTTCAAATGACCTCCATTAAGCTGAATGGAGAAAATTATGTACCTTGGGCTAAATCTGTAGAAGTCTTTCTTAAGGCAAAGAAGAAGGTGAAACACACAAGGGACGAAAAACGCTCCACCGATTCTCATGAGTATGATGATTGGGAGCAAATAGATGTACAGATTATCACATGGTTATGGAATAGTATGGAACCAAAGATTAGTGTAAATTTCATGTTTCTTGATACTACCAAAGAAGTGTGGGACCATGCTAAGAAGTTGTATTCGGGCCAAGACAATACAACCAAAGTATATCAGTTGTATCAGGAATACTTTAATCTACAACAGGGTAATCAGAGTCTTGAGGAGTAGTACTATGCTAGTATGAGAAACATTCGTAATAGAAGAAAAACAGTCCTTGAGAGTGTGGGACTGTTTAGAATAGATGCAGAAATCAAAAGAAATCGAAACAACAGCAGAAAATACTTCTTCTATGGAGTAGAAGGTGAAGAAGGAGATGGTGGCAATAAGGGTTTAGAGTATGA